AAGCCTTTAATACATTTTCAGTTTAATTTTTAAATATATTGTAATATAAGAATCCAATTCATTTTTTGCATGTGGATACCCAGTTTTTCCAATACCATTTGCTCAAGAGGCTGTTCTCTACCCATTGTGTGGCTTGGCATCCTTGTCAAAGATCATTTGACCATATAGGTGAAGGTTTACTTTTGGGCTAATTTGTACCATTGAACTGTATGACTATTATTATGTCAGTAAGACACCTTTTTGATTACTATAGCTTTATAATATGTTTTAAAATCAGGAAATGTGAGGCCTCCAACTTTGTTCTTTTTCAATATTGTTTTGGTTATTTAGGGCCCCTTCAAATTCCACATGGATTTTAGAATAGTTTTCTATTCCTGCAAAAATGTCACTAGGAATTTAATAGGATTGCATTAAATCTGTAGGTTCCTTTGGGTAGTATGGACATTTTACCAATATTTAGTCTTCCAATGCATGAACATGGGATATATTTCCATTTATTTGGGTCTTCTTTTTTCCTCTTTAATTTCTTTCATTAATGTCTTACACTTTTCTGCATACAAGTCCTTCATCTCCTTGGTTAAGCTTATTTCCATTTTATTCTTTTTGATGCTATTATAAATGGGATTGCTTTAAACATTTCCTTTTGAAATTGTTCATTGTTAGTACATAGAAATGCAACTGATTTTTGTGTTGATACTAACTTTGCTGAACTTGTTAGTTTGTCTTCAATTTAGCACTCTGGAAATACAAACTTTTTTTCATAAAGAATTTTATTTTATTAATCTTTGCTAGAACATCATTGGGTAATATGATAGATGACATCCTTAACCACAATTCTGCAGAAAATATAGAAACTTTTTTGGTTGTCATTTATTTTACTTACTCTTTTGTTAACAGATATGAATTAAGCACCCACATGTTCCAGGAACCATGCTTGGATCTGCGTATATATTAGTGGATAAAGCATACTTGATCTCTGTCTCTTTGAGTCTAGATTCTAGTGGGGGAAATAGAAAATAAACTAGTAACCAAACAAAGAAAAACAATGACAAATTGTGATAAGGACTGTGAAGAAAATGATCTAGGAGTGGGATCGGGGATTAACAGAAAGATCTCTTTGGGAAGGTGACATGAAAGCTGGGACTTCAAAAAGGAGACTGCCAGGTGAGAATGAACGGGGAGGGGCAGTGGGGCCACCACTGAGGGAGAGGCCCCTGTCTGTCAAGGCCTTGAGGTGGGAAAGAATTTCAATAAACAAAAAAGAGGCCAATATAGCTCAAGTGTAGTAGGTAAGAAGGCAAAAGGCAAGAGGTGAAGGTGGGAGAGGCAGGTAGAGGTCAGGCCACGCCACGTGGGCAGCCTGTGGAATCATATTGAATTGCAGTTTTGTCACAGGTAGTTAGACACGCATGAGCCGGGCAGGAGAGGGCTCTCCCTGAGCCCCACCAGGAATGTCAGGCAATCATCAGGTGATGTGTGTGCAGTTATCACATTGTCTCTCTAAAAATGATAATTTGGCAACGGCAAATTTGGTCCCAGAAAGAAACGATCTCCTGATGGTCCACAGCTGTCACACTGAAGGGTTAACTGAATGCAGGCGCCAGGGAGAGGCAACTCCCCAAACAGATAAGAAACCCTTGAGATTGGTAATCGACTTCTAACAAAATCTCAAGGAATTGGATGAGTGACCCCGGGCATGTGCAGTAAGAGACAAAATGGTGGAGTATGACCTTCTGGGGGCACTCCACTGGAAAACGAAGAAAGTCTCAGATGGGCATGCGCACAACTTCCTAATCACACTGCACATACTCACCTCCCAAGCCTAAGGAGGGCGCTGTGCATGCGGGCAGCCCACCCTAAGGGAAGAATGAGGGGAAAGGGGTGGAAGATGCCGGAGGTGGGCCACCCTATAAAGCCCTAGGTTTAGTCTAAGGTTAAACACTGAGCTTGTCCTTCAAGTCGCCAGCTTGAGTCTCTTTCAAGTGTACTTTCCTTTCTTTCCTGTTCTAAAGCCTTTTTAAATAAATTTCCACTCCTGCTCTGAAACTTGCCTCAGTCTCTTTTTCTACCTTAAGCCCCTCAAATTATTTCTTCTGAAGAGGCAAGAATTGAGGTTGCTGCAGGCTCATACAGATTTGCTGCCAGTAACTCTTCTACCCCTTCTACCTACCTAGAAGGTATGTAGGAATACCTTCCACCCCTAACAGTTTAGCAATAGAACAGTCATCGGGCATATCGAGGCCAGTGTGCTGTGCTACTTTCTACATTCAGAGAAGCGGCAAGTTAAGTGAGCTCTCTCCAACTCCGCCATACTTTTTCAACCATAGACAAGATGGAGAGCAGTTCTTCTCAGTGGAGCCCTTTGGGGAGTGTCTGAACTATAGATGTGTGACTAGGAGGAAGAAGTGCCAGATGGTGAAATTAAGGACCTGACACCTGTTCTTCCTTTATTAGAAAGCCATTCCATGTTCCTCCTATCATGCATGCAGTCAAAAAGATTGTAAATATTGCAAAAAGTCAATATAACTCGGAACAGATTTTCAGTGAGATGCAAGTAATTTTCAGTAATACAAAAGTTGCTCTTAAGATGAACCCTCTGAGTAAAATGTATGAAGATACTGTTTCATGGTTTGTAGAGAAATTTGGGAGAGAATTTCAGAGTATACCTAACAAACTAATTTGCTTATCATTTTGGGAAAAGTTGTATTTGCTCCCTTGCATTTTCTAAAAGCGATTAACTATCATTTTATATGGCCCTGAGTTAACTAGTTGAATTAAGATGAAAGGAAAGCATTCTAGTCCGTCCTTCCCATATGAGTTAATTGAACTAAACATTTTACACAATGCCCTGTAGAAAGAGGAAAATGCATAGGCCATTTATAACAGGCTATTTCTTGGGTACAGTGGACAAAGGAAGCAGTGGCCGGGCGCGCGGTGGTTCATGCCTGTAATCCCAGCACTTTGGGAGGCCAAGGAGGGTGGATCACCTGAGGTTAGGAGACCTGCCTGGCCAAACTGGTGAAACCCCCTCTCTACTAAAAATACAAAAATTAATTGAGCGTGGTGGCAGGTGCCTGTAATCCCAGCTACTCAGCAGGCCGAGGCAGGAGAATTGCTTGAACCTGGGAGGTGAAAGTTGGAGTGAGCCAGTGAGCCAAGATCCCCCCACGGCACTCCAGCCTGGGTGACAAGAGCGAAACTGCCTAAAAAAAAAAAAAAAGGTAGTAGTGATACAAAACACTGTCTTCACACTCCACCCTAGTTATACCCTCCAGCTGGTACCCTGAATGGTCTGGCCTCTCCCTGGGGGCGCATAGGACAGGAGACCCTAAAGTATTATCTTTTTTGAGCATGGCTCTAACTGTTCCGCGCCATTTTCAACAGGTGAGACTAAGGAAGGGAATCACAGCTAATGAGTCATCTCAGCCAGGCGCAGTGCAGTGATCATTCCCAGGGGAAATGATCTCCTTGCAGGTTCATCTCAGCTCTGCAGCAATGCCTACTTCTTCCCACCCGCTCCAAGGCTGGTACTAAGGTTGTGGAGCTCCTTTTCAACAACTCGCTTACTACAGTCCTGCTCATTCAAAGGCGAAGGTGGTAGTGGTAGAGGACCTGGTGGGCTATTTGCTCAACTGCTCTATCTTGCTTTGTAACTACCAAACCATTTCTGGGTGAGAGCATGGGGACACAAGATTCTTCACATCTAGCTTCCTTTCCTCATTTGCTCGAGATAATCACAAACAGAACTTTAAGAAACCACCTGTATAAACATTTTCGGGGAATCGAATTATTGAACAGTAACCGATTGTCAGCCTCAACAGGGTGACTTGTTGCCCCCTAGTGGTACTCAGTGTCTGTACCGTCAACGTCCCCACTCAATCACTGTGAAACACTTAGGTAACCAAGTGTCAGTCACAAAGTTAAAAAACAGTCCTTGCTTTCATGGAGCTTGCCAAATATAGGCAAATGGTATAAAAATCTCTTCCCTAGGGAGCACGCTAGACACACCCGCAGGTGCAGGCACAGACGGGGCATGAATTCTACACATGTATGCAGGGGAGGTCTTTCAGGGAGATTTCAGAGTGGATGATGTACTTTTATACTACAACATTCAGAGTCATCTCTTCCTCTAAGTACAATTCCAGAATACTAAAAATATTATAAAATTTGGGAATAGACAGAGTCAAGTACACAAAAAGCCTATTATATATTTAAGGACTATGCTTAGAAAAAAGGGTCCTTTTACTGGAAAGATAGGAAAATAGGTTTTTCTTCTTAACTTTATGGATTCAGAAAATCTGGGAGGGAGGCCCAAGGGTGGTGAGTCACTGTGAGAAGTAATGTTTAATTTAATCCAGCTATTGAGTGGTATACTTTTTCAACTTCCTCCCTTTTCCCAAGACCTTAACAAAAAAAAAACCAACAGAATATCTTCTCTGCCAACATTTTTTTTTTCTTTTGAGATGGAGTCTCCCTCTGTCGCCCAGCCTGGAGTGCAGTGGCACGATCTCAGTTCACTGAAACCTCCACCTCCCAGGTTCAAGCGATTTTCCTGCTTCAGCCTCCCAAGTAGCTGGGATTATAGGCACGTGCCACCATGCCTGGCTAGATTTTGTATTCTCAGTAGAGACGGGGTTTCACCATGTTGGCCAGGCTGGAACTGCCAACATTTTCTTCATGCTCATCATCAATCACTTCTTCACCTACAAAATGTCTTTTGCTAGAACATGAGTTCCAGGTGGAGACAGATCACAGAAAGGGGAGGAAAACTCAGAAATCCTTTGTTACGAGGCACTATCGAATTCCCCTCTTGCCTGTTTCCCTCAGGTAAAGAAAAGATCGCTATTTTTCCATCAATATCACACCACAAATATCCACCTATATGTTGCCCTCAAGAGTTGTAATTCTGTTATCATCCTACTCAAGAAAAAAGGTAGTCAGAAACAACTGGAAGTTACCGGTATTTTGTCATTACTAAGTAACAGGGCATTTCTTGGGCATTAGGGATGATTTATGTATTGTTTGTGTCCTTGTCCACTGTAAAAAAGGGAAGCTTAAAAACACAAGTGTGTGTTCAGGTTCCCAGCCTGAATACAAACTGTATTCAACTTCCGAGTGAAATGTGTCCAGACGGCAGGAGAGATCTACTTACCTGTGAGACTGACGAGCCTCCTTGGAACGAACTAATCCTGACAGAAGAAATACTTGTGAAGGGCAAACAGATTAGTTCAAGAAAGCAAGGCTAGCCACAGCAGACTCTCATTCAATGAAGACTGTGCTCCAGCCATGTCTCGAGAGCGGGAAGAAAAAGCAGCAAACGGGCTCTATCTCCACAGGCTCTGGGGACAGTGACGGCTGCACTGGCTCCTTCAGGATGCTCAACCCTGGGCTGTGGAACACCAAGCACAGGCCTCAGCCCTTCCATGATGAATACCGTTTAAAGGCATCAGCTGCAGCATCTCTGTTGCATACAAATGCACTAAGTACAAAAAAAAACAAACCCCAGACTTTTGGGCCCATTGCTTATTATATAAAATTGTTTCCAGCAGTAGGGTTTAAGACAAAACACAAGTGAAATAAAACGTACAAGTTTGTTGCACAAAAACACTGAAAACACGGTTATGTCCTTCTACAATTCAATAAAACACACAGTGCCACAAACACCCTCAGATTCAGTTTAGGTTTCATTCATTCAATAATTATTTTCTAAGTACCTTCATTACTGGGGATGCAGTAATGAATAATAAAGTCCCTGCTCTCTTGGAGCCTCTGTTGTAGCAGTGGGGCGGGGAGATAGCCAGCAAACAGAACAAATCAGTACACAACATGTTAGGTAGTCACAGGGCCCTGGGTAGGGAAAGGAAAGCTTCTGCACACCCAAACCCCTTAAGAGCAATTTGAGGCTGCTGTAAATATTACAGCCTCTTTTGGGGGAAGATACAACCTCTAAGTTTTATATCTATCTATCTATCTATCTATCTAACTCTCTCTCTAGATATAACTCTAATATATATATATTTTAGAGATGGGGTCTGGCCATGTTACCCAGGTTGGTTGGTCTTGAACTCCTGGCCTGAGGTGATCCTCCCGTCTTTGCCTCCCAAAAGGGCTGAGATTATAGGCATGAGCCACAGTGCCTAGCCCTAACTCATATTTTTAAAAGTAACTTTTTTGTAAGTTGCAAATTTCTGGTCAGACTCTTAAACTTCGGAATTCTAGGGAGCTGTTCTAATTTTTAGTTACAAGCTATACGAATAAGTACTTTAAGTCCATACTAAAGGAATAACACCCACACCACATGCATACATGTGCAGGTACATATATGTTTACAGGCTCATGTCAAAAGTTACACAGGTACAAATATGTTAATCTGTATTAGATATTAATACAAAATTATTTCTGGCTCTAATGATACAAATCTTTCATATAAATTCTTAGATTATACTTGGTCTCTCCAAGAACTATCAATATGCTAATTTTAAGGCAGTTAATTGGTACCCCCAAGTACATGGTACTTCTAAGTAAATTTCTGTTCAGAAAATATACTTGTCACAGCTAAGCATATGCTGATGAAGCAACATGTAGAACATAATGAAGAGTGGAATGCAACTGCCTTTTAATGTCTAGAAGACGAGGTAAAAACGAGGGTTTTTTATTGTTGTTTTTTGCTGCTGGTGCTCAGTGTTTGTTCACTGAAAACCACGATGGTCTCAAAACGTGAAGCCTTGTGCTCCAACTTCCTAGAGATCTAACAATTTCACTGGTGTCTTTTAATATTAATGTCCATATTTTCCCTTCTCCACATCCTACAAGGGCATTATTACTCCTTTTTAGGCTATCCAGTCTGAAGCACGTTTTCCCAGTGGTGAACCCAGGGCCAGAAGTCCTGGGCAGGATCACTGAATTGCAGTAGTCTGATAAGCAATGGTGGCAGGCAGTCACGATATGTTCCCAATCGCCTCTTCAAAGACGCAAACTTCCAAAGTGACAGGGCTTTTCCAAAGGTCAGGCCAGCCATGCATGGTGGCTCACACCTGTAATCCCAGCACTTTGGGAGGCCAAGGTGGGTGGAGCACGAGGTCAGGAGTCCAAGACTAGCCTGGCCAACATGGTGAAACCCTGTCTCTACTAAAATACAAAAACTAACGGGGTGTGTTGGCAGATACCTGTAATCCCAGCTACTCGGGAGGCTGCGGCAGAGAATCACTTGAACCTGGGAGGCGGAGGTTGCAGTGAGCCGAGATCAAGCCACTGCACTCCAGTCTGGGCAACAGAGAGAGACACTCTCAAAAACACAGCCTCTGGTCTGAAAGATGAGAATGTGTCAGTGTGGGGTTCTCCGGCAGAGAGCTGGGTCTCAGAGGAGATTCCTGGGTCTCCTCAATGGCTCACTATGCTCTGCTTGAACCACTCCAGAAGCCAGGTGGCAGGTCCGGGGACACGCATGGTGTGGCCTGCAGACACATTACGTGCCCAGGATGTGCTCAGCACCACAGCCCTCCCGAGGGCAGCTGCCTTCAACCTCTTCTTCCAACAGGATTATCTGTTTTTTCAGCAGAAATGACTACTTAAATCAGACTGGCCTTAGCAATGGCCGCTTCCCAGCACGCTCTAACTTTATCGCTTTTCTCTTTCACTGGTCCTTGCCGGAATGGTGCTCTGAGAACTCTGCCCTAGAGGCCACCAGAATTCCCAGACTTCCTGTCTATTAAGGATATCCATGGGTAATCCCCAGTAGCAAGTAATTTAAAAATAAGTTGTAGGTGCCTTTGGAAAGCATTATGTGATTTCTTAAATTAGGTTTTTCCTCCTAGTTACATTTTTTCCCCCTCAGTTCAATGATTTGTATTTTAAGGCCAAGCAGGCTGAGCAGAAGGGGGATCTGAGTACTGCTGGACAGTGCAGAGAAGCCAGCCTGGTGTTTAAAGTGACAGAGACCACCCCGAACAACAGAGCGGGTTAATCATGACAGCTGATGAGTTGCTCAGGCTCCCAGTGGAACATTCTTCTTCCTCTTGCACAAAGGCCAGCGACCTCTTTCCTATGGAAGCATTCTTCTTCTGTGTCAGTCTCCCATCATGGCCATTTTCTGGTCCCAAGACTTCTTGCATACACTATCTTCTGGCATGGCATGTATGTTAAAACTTGCATGCACTCTCAGATCTTAAAATACAACAATTATTTCTCTAATTAGATAGTTACCTATTTTCTATGACTTCAGGGATTGCAAATTCCAGCCAGAAGCTATTGTTCTAGTAAGTTTTGAATCAGAAGTCTTACTGTATAGTAAAAAATTGCCTGGCTTTAATCCTAAACCATGTAAGGGTAGATACTGTGATGTGGAAGCCAATGTTCTCGGGATAAATGAACAGAAGTCCCTGAACAATTTTAGGGATCATCTTTCTGGCATCTGCAGCTATTTTCTAGGCTAAGCTACTTTCCAGAAAACCAGGTGATAATGTGTTCAGACTTTCCTAAATAAATTTCCTGAGGGCCTAACCTCAGTGTTAAAAGACCAAATGTTTGAAATATCTCCAGAGGAAGAATGAAATAGAATGTTAGGAATGGCGAACAGACAGGTGTGGCACATGCAGTAACCAGCAGCATCAGTGACGGACAGGAACACACACATCATCCTTAGCCACAGTGCACAGCGAGCACAGTTGCACTTAGGCTCCCAAGAGGCAGACGGGTGGCCATCGTTTTGATCTGACTCATCTCATCCAATGCAGGTCCAATGACAGGCTTTTTCAAGATTTTACACGTGGAAAATAATGTAGGAAATGTTTGTCTCAACTCTTACAATTGCTTTTTTTTTTTTTTTTTTAAAGAGAGTCTCACTTTGTTGCCAGGCTAGAGTACAGTGGCGCTATCTTGGCTCACTGCAACCTCCACCTCCCGGGTTCAAGTGATTCTCCTGCGTCAGTCTCCTGAGTAGCTGAGACTACAGGCACATGCCACCATGCCCAGCTAATTTTTATACTTTTAGTAGAGATGGGGTTTCACCATGTTGGCCAGGATGGTCTCAATCTTTTGACCTCATGATATGCCTGCCTTAGCCTCCCAAAGTGCTGGGATACAGGCATGAGCCACCGTGCCTGGGCCTGTAATTTCATTTTTAAATAGTAAAGTGCTTGCCTGTATTTTTAGGACCTATGATCTGAAGATGTTTTTTCTTCCCCGAAACAGGGAAATGTTCTCTTTGTAGTTACTGAGAGGAAGGCAAGGAGCTCAGGATCCCAGTGTAACTCCTACAGAAAAACCTTATACTTGACAGAGTTCATTTCTGGTCATATAAAGTCCTGCTGTAGTTCTTCACTTGTTTTATTTTCACTTTCATCTTCATTAGAATAATTTCCTGAATCTTGGCTAGTTTGGGAACTGTATTTTTTATGATCTTCATCAGTCTGATTAGTTTCTTCTACTATAGCAATTGTGCTTATATTTTCAATTATAAGACATTTTTCGATTTGTTCCTCAGAAGTTGAAAGCAGAAGATTCTTCAATGACTGTTCAGAAAAATACTAATTAAAAAAAAGGGAAAGAGTAGAAATCAATTATTTAAAATAATAAAAATTCCTTTTCTAGTTATAATAGCTTTAGTGTCTTATGTCCATTACTGAGAAAACCTATCTTCTGGTCTGCATATTAAAAAGTCACCTAAGAACATACTAATTGCCTTATAATGTTTAAAATCATTAGTGAGGTCACTCTTATCTTAGTACCTTTTGTGGTGAGTCTTTGAAAAGTACCTAAGAAAGGTACACTGTGCCATCAGGGGTAGGCGGGGAAGAACACGGGAAAGGACAGGAGTGGGACGGCTCTGGGATCATGACATTTTTTTTTTTTTGAAATAATAAAAATGTTTGTATCTAACCCATAGATATCCAAAAGAAGCACAAGTGAGAAGTTATTAGCTATTGTAACTAGTTTTAAGTCTATTTTAAACAATAGCTATGAATATTAGAGTACACAGAATGACATTCTTGTGCTCAGGGGTGTAACAGTAAAATTGTTAATATTTACTGAGCATTTTTAGAGTGGTAAGGCTCTTAAGGTTTATCTCCTTTGTTCCTCACACCTCTACGGGGTAGTTTACAGCCGAGGGTACTTGCTTACCTGCCCTTAGTGACTCACTCAAATTCATAAAAGCCACCCTAGATGAGTGCATCATTTCCCGGGAACAGATTCTATGCTTAGGCCTTCACCATTTAGTGCTTTCATTTAATATGCTAACTTCACAGAAGTGCCAAACAAAAAACTATGATGTGTCATAAAAAAAAAGTCTCATGTTTTATTTCATTTTGTGTGATTTCACCTATATAATATGCTTTCTACACTGATAGAATATTTCAGTCTTCTGGATATATACAGATGCTCCCAACTTACAATGGAATTATGTCCTGACAAATGCGGGACATAATTCCAACAGCATAAGTTGGGGACTGTCTGCACGGAAAAGAATTACATCACAGACTTTATTTATTTACTTATTTAGAGACAGAGTCTTGCTCTGTCACCCAGGCTGAAGTGCAGTGGCACGACCTCGGCTCACTGCAACCTCCACCTCCTGGGTTCAAGCGATCCTCCTGCCTCAGCCTCCCGAGTAGCTGGGATTACAAGCGTGTGCCAACACGCCCAGCTAATTTTATATTTTTAGTAGAGACAAGGTTTCTCCATGTTGGCCGGCTGGTCTCAAACTCCTGACCTCAAGTGACCCACCCGCCTCAACTTCCCAAAGTTCTGGGATTACAGGCATGAGCCACCACGCGTGGCCAAGAATCACAGGCTTTAAATGGTAAAACAAATGCCACAGTGAATCTAGGAATTGCCAGAAAAATATGAAATTAAGGACAATCATTACTATCCCATGCTATGTTATTATTTATATTAAATTGCTGTTTTTAAAGTTAATTGACTAAAACTTTGAAGAAAATACCCAAATCAGTCTCTATTATTTTCTGGGTATCAAGAAAACCTATATATATCCTGTTGAAATCAAACACATTTCCTGTTCATTTCCTAGCTGTTGACAAAAAAAAAATATAAAGAAAGTAACATACCTCATCTATATTGGAAGAAGGTTTAAGTGATGGAAAGAAGACATAATTGATGCATCTCAAGAGGACTTTCACAGCATAAATGACAAACGGGAGAGCAAGTAATACAGTAAAAATTCCAATTATAAGCCAAATTTTAGATGTATTTCCTAAAAAGATATACATGATATTTATATGTTGTGACATACAAATGCCCTAACAGTGCTGACAGCTGTGTGAAAGACAAGCCATATGAAAGGAAATATAAAATCTATTAAATAATACTCTTCAAAATATTTCTGGTAGCACTGAGTCCACACCAACCATAGACAATGACATTTACATTTAAAGATTGGCGTGGGAACTGAAGAGATCCTCAGGGAGAAATACAATATTGACATACAGGCCAAACATGCAAGTATCCTTCAGCACTTATACGTCATACAACTAGCAAAATTTAATAGATATTCTGTGACTAAGCCTCTACCAGTCAACACTAGAAACTGTAAAATAGAAAATGAGACTAAACCAGTTCCCACATTAAAAAAATTCAAAATGGAACTAAGTGATTTCTACATGATAATTATGTTAAGGATATTTTTAAAATTTTAAACTAATAGTCTTATTAAATGTTAAAGAGCAATAAATTAAGGAAATTAATTATAGGGATACTGGATGAAATATAAAGCATCCAACAACACTAACTTGAGAGTTATGCATTACAAATATTTTCTAAAAAGTCTACTTTTGATTTATGTAGTTCAAGAAGAAAACATTCTATATATTTTTTGCAGTAAAGAGAAAATATTTTACAATTTTCAGTGTTCAGTATAGAATTACTTTTATTCTGTCTAGTCACATTTTTAAAAAAGACAATAAAAGATTCTGACCTGATTTTGTTTCCTCACACACAACATCACTAAAAACACTGCTTTTATTCAGCTTTTCATCCATGCTGTGTGCTCTGGCTTTCACACAATATACAGTCAGTGGTTTCAAATTAGGAATAGTAACATCAGTTTTTTTCTCGATAATTTTTCTCTAGAAAATATAATTAAATCATTGATAAAATTTAGTCACCTCATGAAATCAGAGAATATGTACTTTCTCAATTCTTTTATGTTCAGTCTAACATTGGCCTCTCCCACGTAGTTGGTACGTGTTTGTTTTTTTTTTCTAGACAGTTTCGCTCTGTCACCCAGGCTAGAGTGCAGTGGTGCAATCTGGGCTCACTGCAACCTCCGCCTCCTGGGTTCAAGTGATTCTCCTGCCTCACCCTCCTGAGTAGTTGGGATTACAGGTGCAGATGCCACCACGCCTATTTTTTTTTTTTTTTTGGTAGAGATGGGGTTTCACCATGTTGCTCAGGCTGGTCTTGAACTCCTGGCCTCAAGTGATCCACCCACCTCGGCCTCTCAAAGCACTGGGATTACAGGGTATATGTGTAAGAAATATAAATTTGTTTTAGACAAACCACTATATCCAAATCAGAAAGTTAAAAATGCTGCTGCCAAAAAGCATATGATCTATTCCTAAGAGAATTCTAATTGATTTATAAGTACATGCCAAGTCTGGGGTAATTGCCATTGTATTACCTCTGATTAGTGACAGAATGGTTAAGAGTACGGGTTTGGGCCTCAAACTGCCTTATGAAGAGGTATCACTTACAGCTGTATGGTCTTGCAATCGTTATTTAATTTCTCTCTGCCTGATTCCCTGACCTGTAAAATTGGGACAGTTATTGCTCTTATCTGTATTAGTCAGCTATTGCCAGAATAATGTCTAACAAGCCTGTGGCTCACACCTGTAATCCCAGCACTCTGGGAAGCCAAGCAGGAAGATAATTGAAGCCCAGGAGTTCAAGACTAGCCTGGACAACATAGCAAGACTCTGTCTCTACAAGAAATTTCAAAAAAATTAGCCAGGCATGGTGGTGTGAGCCTGTAGTCTCTGTTACTTGGGAGGTTGACGAAATCCCTATTTCCAAAACAAACAAACAAACAAACAAAGCCTGGGCAACATGGTAAAACCCTATCTCTAGCAAAAATACAAAAAAATTAGCTGGACATGGTGGCATGTGCCTGTAGTCCCAGCTACTTGGGAAGCTGAGGTGGGAGGATCGCTTAAGCCCAGGAAGTCAAGGCTGCAGTGAGCTGACATCACATGAGTGCACTCCAGCCTGGGTGACAGAGTGAGAACCTGTCTCAAAAAAAAAAAAAAAAAAAAAAAAGATATAACAAAACTGCCTTAACATTCAGTGGCTCACAACATGATTATGTAGTTTCTCACTCGCAAGTCTACAGACTGGCTGGGGAGCTCCCATGGAGGCTGTGCATCGCATCGGGTTTAGGTCAGCTCCAACAGCCTTTAATCCTCCTTGGACCAGAGACTATGTGGAATACGCTTTCTCCCTGGCAAACAGGAGCAGCGCAAGAGCCAAGCCAAACCCCGCAAGCACACTTAAGGCCTCTGCTCTCAGCACATCTACTCGGGCTCCAGCATCTACAGTCTGGTGATGCTGGGATGAAGGCACCATCCCAAGTATTTGCCAAACAGCAATTTAACCAATCACATCATTTGGCAGCGTTGTTTTGAAGAATGATTCAGACAATTCATGTGCAATACTTAGCATAGTACCTTACATATAAGTATTCAATAAGAGTTTCTATAATAATAATTACTGATATATGATCCAGTATAGGATAAGATGGCAACTACAATCTATTGAATCTCTACTACTTGTCCAGCAATGTGCTAGGTATTTGCTATCTGTTACTTCCTTTTAAACCTTATAAACATCCTTTTGAAAATTTTAGTTGTTATGATTACCACCACTTCAGAGAAGAGGAAGCAAAGTCTCCAAGAGATAAAGCACCTTGAGTAACGTTACACAATTTAGTAGTGTGAGATAGAAATTTAGGTTTGTCTGATCTACAGACATCTGAAAACTGACCATAATTCTCAATGGGCTACATTATGCTATGGTTACAGTGTTGTTAGACAGTGAAAAAGGGAAGCAGCCAAATCAATGGAATTTGCTTAGATTTCCAATAGAAAATGAAGCGAAGTGAAAGAATTCACCAGCCTGCCTGGACAGGAGTTTTAAAGGTAGATCCTTGACTAACACTCCACAAGGAAGAAGTGATCTGGGAAACACGTATATTATCTGATGGTGTATATTATCTTTGTCAGTGGTACCTGAATTTTAGGGTTTAGACCAGTGTTTGTCAACCGTTTTTTCATTACTTTTTGGGCAATTTTTTTCTAATCCTTCCCCCATCATAAAATTAAAGACTAAGGAATAACATTTTGTTGGGCAAAGCTGAACTTTGGAAGAATGTTTTCCAATGGTTTTGGAGGAATAAAAACAACTGTACTATCTAGATTCTTTTGTCCCATGAGAATCAGTTTTTGTCCCCTTGGAGGAGCCACCAGAGGACATTTGACAATATTTGGAGATATTTTTGGTTGTCACAACTAGGAAGGAACACTACTGGCATCTAGCAGGCAGAAGCCAGAATGCTGCCAGGCATCTTGCACTGCACAGGTCAGCCCCGCCCCCCCCGGCAAGGAACTGTCCAGCCCAAACGTCAGTAGTGCTAAGAAACCCGGGTTTAGATGAATACATAGGAATCATGTTAAAAAAAATGCAAATTCATGAGCTCCATCCCCAGAGATAATGATTCAGTAACAACAGGCTCAGGAATCTGTATTTTAAAAGCAAACTGGGCCCAGATGTAGCTCACCCATAACTCTATAGTACAGAACATGAAAAATGCTCATGTTCTTCATTCTGTAAATGTCTGAGTTAATCACTCCTTTTTTTTTGAGATGGAGTCTCGCTCAGTTGCCCAGGCTGTAGTGCAGTGACGTGATCTCGGCTCACTACAAGCTCTGCCTCAGCCTCCCAAGCAGCTGGGACTACAGGCGCCCGCCGCCACGCCCAGCTAATGTTTTGCATTTTTAGTAGAGATGGGGTTTCACGTGTTAGCCAGGATGGTCTCCATCCCCTGACCTCATGATCCGCCCGCCTCGGCCTCCCAAAGTGCTGGGATTACAGGCGTGAACTACCGCGCCCGGCCTTTTTTTTTTTTTTTTAAGACAGACTGTCAGTCACTCTGTCACCCAGGCTGGAGTGCAGTGGCACGATCATGGCTCATTGCAAGCTTGACCTCTGAAGCTCAAGCGATCCTCCCACCCCAAGTAGCTGGGAATATTAGGTGCACGCCATCACACCAGGCTAATTTTTAAAAAGTTTTATTTGAGACAGGGTCTCCCCATTTTGCCCAGGCTGGTCTCAAACCCTTGGGCTCAAGTGATCCTCTCGCCTTGGCCTCCTGAAGTGCTAGGATTACAGGCCACTGCACCCAGCCCACATAAAAGTTTAAAAATTTCCCCCAAATTTTAAATTCAAGCTTTATTTACCTAAATCACAGTTATAACTCTAAGCTACAAAATTATACTATAGTCTTTTTACCTCAGCCTTTGAAGTGTTTTCCCAAAAAAGAATTTCATAAATCAGTGGATAATCCTGGATCACAGGCTTGTTTTCAAACCATTTTGGAGCACCGATAGAGATATGTAATGAATCACTAAGGGATCTAATGTTAAAGACTGGAGGAAGCAGGGAAGCTAGAAAAATTTGTAAAGAAATAATGTTCAATTAGAAAAACAATTTTAAGAACTTGTACCAAATCAGAGAATTACAATCTCCAGTAAAAACTACTGCCTTACCTTGTATTTCAGTATCAAACTTTATCTCTTCAGACCAAAAAGACGTGTTATTTCCATCAGAGGCTTGTACGCGGAGAAGGTAAATTCCTTTTTGGAAAGTGTCTCGAGGAAAGACACACTGGGTAGTTGTGACATTTTCGCAGTCAGGTATTTGTTTCCATTTATACAAATGGTTTCCAGGATTCCTTTTTAAAAAGGCACTTTTAAGACAAACAATTTTTAAACTCAACCACACATTAATTCAATAGATATTTATTAAGTATGTACAATATGCCAGACACTGTGTTGGGGGCTAAGGTTACAGAAATAAATAGTAGCCACCCTGAGGAAACTCACAAACAATGGCAGAGATATGCATCTAACATAAAAGAAAGCCAAACATTGTTCCACACTGTGATCACGCTGTGCTTTGCTGCAGGTGGCTTATGTCAATGTGCAAGAACATCTGTTAGTTAGAATTTCCAGGAATGCTGCAAGCTGGTTTTTTTGTTTTTTTGTTTTTGTTTTTTTTTTGAGACCGAGTCTCGCTCTGTCACCCAGGCTGGAGTGGAGTGGTAGGATCTTGGCTCACTGCAACCTCCGCCTCCTGGGTTCAAGCAAATCTCCTGCCTCTGTCCCCTTGAGTAGCTGGGATTACAGGCGCACGCCACCAGGCCTGCCTAATTTTTGTATTTTTAGTAGAGATGGGGTTTTGCCATGTTGGCCAGGCTGGTCTCGAACTCCTGACCTCAGGTGATCCACCTACCTCGGCCTCCCAAAGTGCAAACTGGTTTTTAAACAAAAACCATTATTAAAAATTAAGTTACAAAAATTTGCAAATAAAAATTGTTTTAAAGACAGAGATGATAAATAAATTCATCTTGTCCTAACTATTTTACTACATTTTATTGTCTAAGCTCTTGGGGCTATCTTTATCTATTGTAGCTGTATGACAGTGGTGTGCTACTGTGCATATCTTCCCAACTCCATGTTCAGGGACATCAGGCTGGTGGCTCGAAAGTGGCCATGGTGGGAATATTTATATCACGAAAATCAGCAAACACTACAAAATAGGACTTTTTCTTTCTGGAAAGCCAGTTGCTAAACATGCGCCAGCATACCAGCGGATAAGTACCAAAATAGAGACACACTGCAGGGTTATGAGAGCAAGTATAAGTACGAGACTAAAGAGGTTCAGTAACTTGCCCAGGAACCAGGAGCTAAAAGCACCTCAGTTCAAGCCCAGAACTCTAACAGCCTCCTGACTGGTTTCCTTGTCTCTCTCTAGTGTCTTCTTCTTAGTCCACTCTCCCATATACCACATTGCCATGCACACCTTCCTCAAATCCAGAGCGCAGGTTACCCATCACCCCAACACAAAATCGCCAAAAGCCTGCAGGACAACCTGAGGTTGACCCTAATCTTGTCCCATTCTACTTATTCAGCGTTCTTCCCATTGCAACCTGGTGTCCAAATGTTCTGCTACTCTAGAAGGACATCCTTCCCACTGAAGAAGGCAAAATTCTGAGATGGCCCCCAAGATTCCTGCCCCCTGGTGTACACATCCTGTATAATCCCCTCCTCTTGACTGTGGGCAGGACCTGTAAATACGATGGAGGCCCTCCTCTCATAATGAGGTTACACTGAGTGGCAGAAGAAAAGCCATTTCACAGATGTAATTCAGGTCCCAAATTAGTTGAATCAAATGAGAGACTATTCTGGGTGGGCCTGACCTAATCAGATGAGCCCCTTCAAAGAGGATTTAGCCGGGCGCAGCGGCTCACACCTCTGATCCCAGCACTTTGGGAGGCTGAAGTGCGCACGGCGGCTCACACCTCTGATCCCGGCACTTTGGGAGGCTGAGGTGGGCGGATCACTCGAGGCCAGGAGTTTTCAAACAGCCTGGCCAACATGGAGAAACCCTGTCACTACTAAAGATACAAAAAAACTGGCTGAGCACGGTGCCTCATGCCTGTAATCCCAGAATTTTGGGAGGTTGAGGCGGGTGGATCACCTGAAGTCAGGAGTTCGAGACCAGCCTGGCCAACATGGTAAAACCCCGTTTCTACTAAAACTACAAAAATTAGCTGGGTGTGGTGGCGCACACCTGTAGTCCCAGCTACTCGGGAGGCTGAGGCAGACAGAAGAATCACTTGAACCCGGGAGGCGGAGGTTGCAGGGAGCTGAGATCGTGCCCCTGCATTCCAGTCTGGGCGACAGGGTGAGACTCCCTCTCAAAAAAAAAAAAAAAAAAAAAAAAAAAAAAAAAAAAAAAAAAAAAAAGGATCTAGAGGTTAGACTCACCCTCTCTGATAGTCTCTTAGGAAGTGAGCCACTATGAGTTCTAGAAATAAATTCTGCCAACAACATGTGAGCTTGGGAGCAGCCCCCAAGTCTTGTATGACTGACTGACTCCTTGACTGCTTGACTGCTTGGCAGAAGACCCAGCTAAGCCACACTTGGACTCCTGACTCACAGAAACTTTGAGACACTAAATAGCTGTTTAAGTTGCTAAGTCTGTGGTAATTTGTTACAGAAACAGAAAACATCTAATACTTGTCTATTTGAAAAAAATTGGAATTAACAATCAAGGCCTTGTTCCTACCTCATCTCTTTTCTTATGGCTTCTTTGGTCTCTTCAGCCCCTATTCACCTTTACATTTTCAATTTCTGCAACCCTTATAATTTGTATACCACTCTTTAGTCTGAAACCACACAACACTTTGCAATGTCCGCTCACTGCTTTCGATTTCTAGAACCATGTTTGATTCTGTTGACTCTTTCCCCATTTCTTCAGTGCTTTGTACAATATGCTAAGTGCCCCAAAGCAGCTTAGAGATCAGCCATCAGAAATACTGCTCATTATCTACTTGGTGACCCTATTATTTATTCACTTCTGAAAGTGAGGTATACACAAAAGATTACTGAACAGTCTCCTGATTGGTTTGTGAGGTTATATATGCACTGTGGGGCACATATGCACATAAATGCATTTCCATTCTACTGGTCACCCTTGGTTCAAAATGAACACTAAAAGAGAGAGGGACATTGATCATAGCAGTACTCACACTTCCCTTCTCCCTCATTTTTTCTGTTTCTTTCCAGTTTCTTCTGACTTTTCCTTTCCTCTCTTAGCTATACTTGCCTTTGCTCTCTACTCCTCTGCCACCAATGTATATCTTTCTTTCCATTTCTTTTCTCCCCATAACCCACTTTTCCTTCTACTTAATTTTCCTCTTCTCTTTTTTCTCTCTATTCATCTCCTACAATTTCCCAGTCAGTATAAACTACATGCAGTTCTCTTTTATCAGTTTTTTAAAAATTTTAATGTTTAGAGATGGGGGTCTCACTATGTTGCCCAGGCTGCAGTGCAGCGGCTACTTACAGGTGTGATCATAGCACACTGCAGCCTCAATGCCTGGCCTCAAGTAATCCTCCTGCCTCAGCCCACTGAGTAGCTGGGACTATAGGCATGCGCCACTGCACCAGGCCAGTTCTCTTTCATTTATGCAGTGCCTAGACTTCATCCGTGTTTAGCTAGCCTCTGCTCAACCACATAGAACACAGTTCTTTCCAACTTTCTTTCCCACTGAAGTAACTACTACAAAATTTTGTCAAAACCACTAAAGTAATAAAGAAATGAGGAAGGCTAATTTTTTGAATGGAACAAGTGAGTGGACTGAGATCATTTTAAGGACTCATGGAAGAAGAGAGTTCTTAAGAAAAACATCAGGGTCAAGGGTCAGGTGTTCCAGATTGCGGAAATAACACATGCAACTAGTCACATTTTTTTTTTTCTTAAGCCAGTAAGAACCCCAGATATTAGAACCCATCTATTTTACAAGTGAAGAAATTGAGGCCCATGGAGGTTAAGCGATCAGCTCAATGTCATCCAGTTAGTTACTGGCTGAACTGGGGTTAGAAATGAGATTTCTCATGTTTCCAATATATCGTACCCACCTCCCAGTTGGTCATTCTGTGTGCAAGGACCTGGTGACTGAAGCAGAGTGAAAATAAGCATAATCAAAACAAACTGGGCAAAAGGAAATTTATAGAATAGAACTTACTGGAGCCACTGAACTTGAAAGCTCATGTTTGCATATGTATAATCCCACTTAAGAACATAGTTCTGATTTTGAACAATGACTTCTACATTTTCTGGTGGAGGTAGTTCATTTTCAACTAGAAGCCAAAGAACAGATAAAAAAAGCATACATTTTTACTCAAGTGAGATAACTGGCAAGAAGATAAAGGCTCACATTTTATCATTATAAGGTAATAGTTAAGGACGGTTTGTATTCACACTGTGTAATACTACGCAGCCATTTGAAAGACGACAGGCCGGGCGCAGTGGCTCACGCCTGTAATCCCAGCACTTTGGGAGGCTGAGGTGGACGGATCACCTGAGGTCAGGAGTTCAAGACCTGCCTGGCCAACACGGTGAAACCCCGTTTCTACTAAAAATACAAAAATTAGCCGGGCATGATGGCACACCCCAGCTACCTGGGAGGCTGAGGCGGGAGAATCGCGTGAACCTGGGAGGCAGTGGTTGCAGTGAGCCGAGATTGAGCCACTGCACTCCAGTCTGGGCAACAGAGTGAGACCCTATCTCAAAAAAAAAAAAAAAAAAAAAAAGAATGTAATAGATGGCTAAGATCAAATGAAGAATGTAACAGATCTGTATTGACTGATATAGAATGATATCCCCAACAAACTGGGTTAAGTAAGCAAGCTGTAAAGTACAACTAGTAAGATTTTATTTTGTAATTTAAAAAGCAAAACCCAAGAAACTGTGGGTCTGTATATATGCTTACATAGGTCCTGAAAAAAGTTGTGAAAGGATATACACAAACTGCCAAGCAATGCTTACCTCTGGTGAATGGAATTGGGGATAAGAAGGGAGGAGGAAAAGACTTCACTTTAAACCCTTCTGTAATGTTTGATTAAAAAAATAAAGCAGATGAAATTTACAATTAAACAAATCCCAGCTCCTGTCCTTGACCTTAATTATTGGAAAGATGTTACTGACTAAATATATCAGGATGCTTTCCTATTTTAATATCCCATGTACAAAGGTATGCTTGCTGGAAGAATAACTTGTCTACTAGCAACTACTTCCCCCCCTTTTCTTCCCATTTGCAGAACTCATAGTTCAGCTACCTCCCGCTTTATGTGGATTCTGAACAAACGAAAAGTTTTGTCATTACGAAATATTTGAACTTTTTTTTTTTTCCTAAGACGTAGTCTTACTCTTTGTCCCACTTGCTCCCCACTGGAGTGCAGTGGCGCGATTCTGGCTCACTGCAACTTCCACCTCCCAGGTTCAAGGGATTCTTGTACCTCAGCCTCCAAGTAGCTACGACGACAGACGGATGCCATCATGCCCAGCTAGTTTTTTATTTTTAGTAGACACGGGGTTTTCCCATGTTGGTCAGGCTGTTCTCGAACTTCTGGCTTCAAGTGATCTGTCTACCTCAGTCTCCCAAAGTGTTGGGATTATAGGCGTGGGCCACTACGCCCAGCCTGAACTTTTAAGTAGAATTAATTTTCATTACTATTTGAGACCAAAATCCCAAATAACATTTATTTTGCTTATGTAAATGTTACAATGTTTTAAACATATATTAACCTATCATGTAAACTTTAGCAATATGGGAAAGATGCCAAAATTGATAATTTGTATATATACTTATTGAAACGAAAACAAAGCATCTTCCTTACCTGTGGTCTTTATACAGTGCACTGGACTATAGACACCAATTTTCCGTGACGTAAGTAGCGCTGCTTTAACTTTTAAACAATAAGTAGTCTCTGGTGAGAGTTTATAAATTTTATGTCTGGAATAAATATTTTCAATCCTTTCCTATAATAAAAACATAAGTTGGTTCTTTAAAAAAGTATAAAGTCAAATTTTAGGATTAATTCACCTAATTTTTCTCTCACATCGATTAAACAAAGGTAAAAACAATGCTTACTTCTACACTTGAAGAGTTTTTCCAGATAACTAAGCTATATGTAAAGCTTAAACCATCCAAAGCCCACATAACACTATCTTTTGTTCCAGGAGGAGAGATGTGTATCACTATTGCCTTATCTTCAGCTTCTAAATGTACTTCTGGAGGACCAATTTGAGCTGCAAAAAAAAATCAAAACAGTTACTTTGGAACTTTATTAATACAATGCCAAAACCTTCATTTGACAAATAATTCTGAGCACTTACTATGTGCCTGCCACTTCTGGGAGTTAAGAGCACACAGATAGCATAGATAGCTGTAAGATCACCAGTGGAGTGATACAGAAAGAGAAGAGGTTCAATGACTGAGCCCAGCAGCAGTCTAACACTGAAAAGTCGGGAAGATGAAGTGATCAATGAGCAGGAGGAGAACCAGGAAAGAGCAGTGCCCTAGAGATCCAGTAAAGGAAAAACTGAGTGATGACCACATCTGTGCTACTGAGGGATGAAGCCAGAAGAGGACTGGGAATTTGCTTGGCATTGTGGAGGCTGTTGTGACCTTGAGAACAGTCTTTTTTTTTTTTTTTTTTTTTTGAGATAGAGTCTCGCTCTGTCACCCAGGCTGGAGTGCAGTGGCACGATCTCAGCTCACTGCAAGCTCCGCCTCCCGGGTTCATGCCATTCTCCCGCCTCAGCCTTCCGAGTAGCTGGGACTACAGGCATCTGCCACCAAGCCCGGTTAGTTTTTTTAAATTTATTTTTGTATTTTTAGTAGAGACAGGGTTTCACTGTGTTAGCCAGGATGGTCTTGATCTCCTGACGTCGTGATCCACCCGCCTTGGCCTCCCCAAGTGCTGAGATTACAGGAGTGAGCCACCGCACCCGGCCGAAAAGAGTGGTTTTAATAGTGATGAGGAACTGCGTTTGAATGGAGCGGACTGAGAGGGAATGGGAAGGTAAGTAGTATAGAAACGGAGTACAGATCATTCTTGGTAAAGGACAGTGGTTCTCAAGCCTTTTGGTCTCAAGATCCCCATCTTTTTTTGAGATATGGTCTAGCTCTGTTGCTCAGGCTGGAGTGCAGTGGCACAAACACGGCTCACTGCAACCTTGATCTCCCAGGCTCAAGTGATCCTCCCTCTTCAGCTTCCTGAATAACTGGGACTACAGCTGTGCACCACCATGCCTGGTTAATTTTTATATATTTTTTGTAGAGATGGGGTCTCACTATGTTGCCTAGGTTGGTCTTTAACTTCTGGCCTCAAGTGATCCTCCCACCTCAGCCTCCCAAAGTGTTGGAATTACAGGTGTGAGCCACTACACTCGGCTCCTTTACATTCTTAAAGGAATTAATGAGAATCCAAAACAGCCGTTATTTATGTGGGCTGTATCTTTTTATATTAGCATATTAAACATTAAAACTGGTAAAGTTTTCAATCCATTTTAACTAATTAATCCATTAAGAAATAACAACGGACTGGGCATGGTTTCTCACGCCTGCAATCCCAGCACTTTGGGAGGTTGAGGTGGGCAGATCGCCTGAGGTTGGGAGTTCGAGGTCAGCCTGACCAACGTGGAGAAACCTTGTCTCTACTAAAAATACAAAATTAGCCGGGCATGGTGGCACATGCCTGTAATCCCAGCTACTCGGGAGGCTGAGGCGTGAGAGTCACTTGAACCCAGGAGGCAGAGGCTGTAGTGAGCCAAGATCGTGCCATTGCACTCCAGCCTGGGCAACAAGAGCAAAACTCTGTCTCAAAAAAAAAAAAAAGGAAAAAGAAATAATAATGATAAACCTATTTTATGGTAACAAACATTTGCCACAAGGAACATAAAACTTCAGAGTGGTGCTGTTTTACATTTTTTTCCAAATCTTTTGAATGTTGGGATTAATAAAGAAGGCAGATAAATTTCACATTGAGTTCTATGTTAATCAGTGACCATACCACCACATCACACATCAAACAGCCTCCTCTGGAAAACTCCACTGTGAATACAAGAAAGAACCAAAATAAAAAGGGCAAGTAAGTCTTAGATTTTTCATAAATATAGCTTTATCTTTACGGCCCCCTGAAAGGGCCTTGAGGACCACTCTTTGAGAACCATTACTACAGGGAAAGGAGGAAAAATAGAGTTATAGCAGGAAGAAGATACAGGTTTAAGGGAATTTTTGTTCTTTTTAAAAGATGTCAGATTTTGCATCATGCAAATGAATGGCTTGGAAAGTGAACTGCTCTGGCAATATTTACTAAAGAATATAATTCAGCTAGCAACTTTTTCTTACCTTTGCGAAATGGTGTAAATGGGTCAACCTCATACCATGAAGAAGTGTTTTCTTTTTCTGCTCTTATACGCAATTTAATTTCTTCATAAATGTTCAGCTTGAGCGAAGAAAAGTTGCATTTGGTACTAGTAATATTCTGACATCCAGGTAATTTTATCCAATTATCCATCCCAGGTCTTTAAAGTAAAAAAAACAAATGAATGAGAGAGCAAATGTATAAATATAAGTGTGAAATACTTTCTATTTACTGGTTTAAGAGTTATTTCTTAACTCTTAATAACTCTCGTTTAAGAGTTATTTCTATTTTTAGTTTAAGATTTATTTCTTCTACTTGAGCTAATGTCCTATAAATATTTTAGGGTACACCCTTCCACTCTTTTTCAATGCATATAAGCCAAGTTATTACTTATAAAATTGAATTTTAAAATACAGTTCTTTATATAATTTTGTGGGTGGTTGCTTTACGATTTCAAGGAAGCAGAGGAATAAATGACCCATAAGGTAAAAGTGGATTTAGTATGTTGGCTCTGTTAAAAATAGCTGTGTGACTTTTGGTAAACTATTTTGTTTCTGGATCTTATCTTCCTTATTGAAAGTTCGGAGCCTGTTCAACATAGCAAACCCTGTCTCTATGAGGAAAAAAAAAAAAAAAGGCAAAGCAGGGCATGGTGGCATGTGCTCATAGTCCTAGCTACTAGGTAGGCTGAGGTGAGAGGGTCATTTGAGCACAGGGGTTCAAGGCTGCAGGCTGCCATAGGCTATGATCATATCACTGCAATCCAGCCTCAGCAACTGAGCAAGACCCTGTCTCTAATAAAATAAAATTAAATAGAAATTGGAGAATTGGATTGGATGATTCCTTTCTGACCTCCTCCTACGAACAGACTTCCCTGAGAAAGACCTCGGAATCAGTATGGTTTCAGGGTTTCCACAGCCCTCTCCAAAAACCATCCCTCCTTCTGCTTGCCTGTCTCCGTAATTTCTTCTATTACATCATCAGAAACCACTTAAAATGTTTACATAAACAAATTAATTTTTGGAAGTGGAACTAGCCAATCAAAAAGCTGAAGTGATTGATATTAGATTCTTCCTTTTGAAAAAGGGGCAAACATGAAGAAATCAAGTGGGCAGGGGGTGCCTAAAGCAGAAAAGGACATATTGCCCAGAAAGGGGAAGAAGAACTTGCAGGAAAAGTGAGGGATAGAAATGAACTTAGATTTCATTTTTTTTTTTTTTTGAGACAGAGTCTCACTCTGCTGCCCAGACTGGAGTGCAGTGGAGCAATCTCGGCCCACTGCAAACTCCACTTCCTAGGTTCAAGCAATTCTCCTGCCTCAGCCTCTCGAGTAGCTGTGATTACAGGTGTGTGCCACCACATCTGGCTAATTTTTGTATTTTTTTTTTTTTTTTTTAGTAGAGATGGGGTTTTGCCATGTTGGCTAGACTGATCTTAAACTCCTCACCTCAGGTGACCTGCCCACCTCAGCTTCCCAAAGTGCTGGGATTACAGGCATGGGCCACCATGCCTGGCCAATTTAGCAGATTTCAAAGCTTTTACCTATGTTAAGCCCATCGACTGTAAAAGTAGCAGGGAAACTATCTTCTGGGAAGGCATTTTTGTCAAGCCTAATTCATTAGCTGATTTATTTATTTTTAATAATACCACAGATGCCATTTTAAAGATGATTTAGATACTAGAAACCAGAAATAATACCAAAATAATTTTGCTGCTGAACCAAATACAAGTCTACCTTATTTTTCAAAATGGAAACATTTTAAAGAAATTACCAAAAATATAAAATACTTCATTCTTGGCCAGTTTTCACTTCCACTTTACATATCTGAGGCCTGAGATTAGAGCTGGCATTAAAAATATCTTAAACATTCTTGAAAAGGTTCCACATCAGAAACTATTTCTAAGAATCCAGAAACTCTTGTTATAAACAGAAAACCTTATCAAAAATTTGAAACTTAATATAATTTCAACCCAACCTCACTGTTCACATCTGTCTTTCCTATTTCAGGAGATGCTGATGCATGCTCCATTAAAACTGTTTCACATCTAATCAAGATATTGCAGCAGAAGCTACTTTTATAGTTTCTTAAAAAAATCATTATTGGCTGGGTACAGTGGCTCACACCTGTAATCCCAGCACTTTGGGAGGTGGAGGCGGGCGCATCATCTGAGGTCAGGAGTTTGAGACCAGTCTGGAAAACATGGAGAAACCCCATCTCTACTAAATATATCATGGAGATAATAGGAAAGCCTGATCACAGGAAACCTCGTGGCCTATTCCAAGGTCTTGGATGGGCCTTTTGGAGTACTATGCCATATCCTCAAGATACACCCTAGTTCAGATCCCAACTTATATTGAAAGAAGCTGGAACACCCAGAGGAAAGAAGAAATGGCTATGGGTTAGAGATGCTGTCTACCACCCTCATCCCCAATTTTTTTGCTTCAACACCCAAAGATGTATTTGACTAAGTCTCTACAGAAACAAAGTTAAAAATATTATGTAAAATAGGCATAACATTTCTAAAAAATAGAAAAACCAAATACTTTCCAAATCTGAAAATTAAGGTGCTAAACTTGTAAAAATTATTCAGGTCATTCTGACAAATCAGTAAGTAGAGTCACATACTTTTGATAATCGAATGAAAAAGTTACATTCCCGACAGATTCATCACTCCTGTTCCACCTCAGGATAAAGTTGTCATCTATGATGTCAACCTCTACTTTTTGAGGCGATTTTAGATTTTTTCCACCTATAAAGGCAACAAGAAATAAGAACATTATATAAACTGTACAGATATTCTAAATGTTATTCTATCCCCCGCATCCCTGATTAAAGAATGAATACAGTAAAATATAATGAAGTATATTTTAAAAATCTAAAAAAATCTAATGATCGCTCCCAGCACAGGGATGCTGGTAATTACATTTCTGCATCTGAGAGAGCTGAAAAAAGAGTTGATTTTTTTTTCCTTTTTGAAAAAGAGTTGTCTTTTAATTAAAAAACGAATGGTCTCCGCATAAAAATAGAATTTTTCTTGGCCTTAGAAGTGACACTGATGAGTCACTCTTATGATGAGGTTCAACTGTTTTATGGCCTCAGTTTGATTTCACATTGTATGTTCAGAGACAGATAGAGATGCTTCTTGATTTACAATGGTGTTATGTCCTGATAAATAAGGGTGAGTCCTACGGGCAATCAAGTGCTGGCTTCCTCCCTGCAGTACTCCTTGTGGTAACATCATCACAAATAATTGACCAGTGCCAGCAGGAGTCACCTGCCCAAGCAGTGCCTCTGAGCCCTGGGTAGTACCAACAGCAGCTGTACTTCCTGATGTCGTACCCCTGCCCCATCTCCCACTGCAGGGGTGGGAAAGTATAGTGTATCTCAGCAGCTGTCCCCTCTGTGTTAACTGCATCATAACTGGTGTAAGCACCCTGGATCACCACCTGGGTCATGGATTGAGTGGCAGGATAGCCACTGATGGCACCAGTGCCCTCAGTCTGGACATCCAGCTGCCCCTCACACACCTGGATCACCCTGCGCATCACTTGACACTGGGGTCAAGGAAGGTGGCAGCTGACTGGATGCTGGCAATAGCCCCATTGGCTGGGTCTTCCCCAGTAGCCATTGCACGTGCCGGAATCTTCACTGTCCCCTCTGTCTAGTGCCCTTTCATTTCACCTTTCAGGACTTCCTTAAGCATTTCTTGCAGGGGAGGTCTAGTGGTAATGAACTCCTTCAGCTTTTGTCTATCTAGGAACATCTTAATTTCCTTATGCTTTTGGAGGGCAATTTTGTCGTATACAGGGTTTTAAGTTTTGTTTTGCTTTTTTTTTTTTTAGCACTTTGAATACACTGGTCTCCAAAGTATCAGATAAGAAATCTGCTGATTATGTTATCAAAGATCCCTTGTGTATGACAAGTCACTCCTCTGTCTTTGGCTTTCAAAAGTTTGACTACGTTTCTTAGTGTGGTCTCTTTGAGATCACTGTACTCGGAGTTTGTTGATCTGTCCAGTGCATATTTGAACACCAGAGTGAGGTGTTCAAGTCACCAACTACTATCATATCGGAGTCTATCTTTCCTTTTACGTAGAGTAATATTTACTTTATATATCTGGGTGCTTTGGTGTTGGGTACATGTATGTTTAGAATTGTTATATCCTCTTGCTGAATTGGTCCCTTTATCATTATATAATAACCTTCTTCATCTGTTTTTACAGTTTTTAACTTAATGTCTTTTTAATCTGACATAAGTATAGCAATTCCTGACAGCTTTTGGTTTCCATTTGCTTGGAATAACTTTTTCCATCCCTTCAATTTCAGTTTATATGTGTCTTTATAGGTGAAGTGGGTTTCTTATAGAAAGCATATAATTGAGTCATTTAAAAAATATTCATTTAGCCAGTCTCTTTAAGTACAGAATTTAATCCATTTACATTCAAGATTATTATTGATATTTGAGCACTTACTTTTGTCATTTTGTTAATAGTGTTCTAATAATATCCTTTGCTCCTTTCTTCCTCTCTTATTATTTATCATTGTGGTTTGATGGTTTTCTCTAGTGATAAGGTTTAATTCTTTTCTCTTTCTCCTTTGTGTATCTGCTCTATCAGTGAGTTTTATACTTTTCCATGTTTTAATTATACTGACTACTCTCTTTTCACTTCCAGATGTAGGACTCCCTGGAACATTTCTCATAAGGCTGGTCTAGCAGTGATGAATTCCCTCAGTCTTTGCTTGTCTGGAAAAAACTGTATTTCTCCCTCATTTCTGAAGGATAGTTTGGCTGGGAATAGCATTCTTGGCTGTTTGAGTATATCATCCCATCCTCTCCTGTACTGTAAGGTTTCTGTGAAGAAATCTTCTGTTAGCTGAACAGGGATTTTCTTAAATGTGACTTGATGCCTTTCTCTCGCTATTTTTAGAATTCTCTCTGTCTTTGACTTTTGACAACAGACAATAATGTGCTTTCGAGAGAACCTTTTTGGGTTAAATCTATTTGGGAATCATTGAGCTTTCTGGATCTGGATGTCTGTCTCTCCAGACTTGGGAAGTTTTCAGCTATTATTTCATTAAATAGTTTGTATATGTCTTTTACCTTTTCTCCTCTTTCTGTAACTTACATAGTATGAACATTTGTTCCTTTAATATCCCATAAGTCTCGTAGGGTTTCACTTGTTTTTTCTATAACTGAGTAATATCAAATGATATATCTTCAAGTTCAGAGATTCTTTCTTCTGCTTTACCAAGTTTGTTGTTGAAGCTGTTTATTGTATTTTTTAAATGTAATTCACTGAATTCTTCAACTGCAGGATTTGTTTGGTTCTTCTTCATCATGTTTTTTTTTTTTTTTTTGAGACGGAGTGTCGCTCTATCCGCCCAAACTAGAAGTGCAATGCTTGGATCTCAGCTCACTGCAACTCGCCTCAAATTCCTCCCTTCTCACTGCCTCAGCCTCCCGAGTAGCTGGGACTGGGCGCCCGCCACCACGCCCGGCTATTTTTTGTATTTTTAGTAGAGACGGGGTTTCACTGTGTTAGCCAGGATGGTCTTGATCTGCTGACCTCGTGATCCGCCCGTCTCGGCCTCCCAAAGTGCTGGGATTACAGGCTTGAGCCACGCGCCTGGCAATGTTTGTTTTTTTTTTTTTGGTTGAATTTTTTGTATTGTGAATTGTTTTCCTGATTTGTTGAACTATCTGTATTTTCTTTCTCTTTTTTTTTTGAGATGGAGTCTCGCTCTGTCGCCCAGGCTGGGAGTGCAGTGGCCGAATCTCAGCTCTGCAAGCTCCGCACCTCCCGGGTTTACCATTCTCCTGCCATTCTCCTGCCTCAGCCTCCCGAGTAGCTGGGACTACAGGCGCCCGCCACCTCGCCTGGCTAGTTTTTTTGTATTTTTTAGTAGAGATGGAGTTTCACCGTGTTAGCCAGGATGGTCTTGATCTCCTGACCTCGTGATCCGCCTGTCTCGGCCTCCCAAAGTGCTGGGATTACAGGCTTGAGCCACCGCACTCGGCCTGTATTTTCTTGTATCTTGTTGAGTTTCCTTAAGATCATTAGTTTTAATTCCTTTTCCAGCAATCTGTTGATCTTCTTTTCATTGGGCCACCATTAGAGAGTTCTTACTTTCCTTTGGTGGTGTCGTATTTCCTTGCTTTTTCATGTTTTTGTGTCTCTGCATTGATAAGATAATTACCTCTTCCAAACTCTACAAACAATGGCTTTCAAAGACAAAGTCTTTTATTAGCAGTTGGGTTTCAGTATGCTAGTTTCGATAGGTGTGGTGACTGTTTCCTGACAGATGCAGTGATATGGTCTGCATGCAGCTGCTGTACCTGTGTTCAATGTCAGTAGTAAATGGGTGCCTCAGGGGCCTAGGCTGCAGAAATTTGTGGCAGTGGTAGTATAGGTTGTTAATGTCCTCAGTGTTAAAGGCTTTTAGGATCCTCCTATTCTTTTGTCTTCCCCACAATGGGGAGACTTAGCCAAGGGTATACTTCTTGGTATCAGGTCTGACAGGGGCTATATATATGCAGCTGCAGCAGCTCGTGATTCCAGGTGAACGTGCTCAGAGTGGCTACTGGGCAAAGGTCCTAGGCTCAGGATCTCAAAAACCTATTGAGACACTCGGTTCCTGAGGTGGGTTTGCTCTCTGTGGCAGGGGTTGGACGTAGGTTGCTCACAGAGCCAGGATTTGTGACCTGGAGGTGCTTCCTAGCAGCTCAGGCCCAGAGAATGGGTTATAGCTTTGATTCTACCCCTCTGGAGGTCAGGGCATAGCAATGGCCTGACTATAAAGAAGGGGTTCCCTGGAGGTTTGGGCCTGGGGAACAGGGTATGGTTTTAATTTGGGAACATGAGCTAATAGGTCTCAGTGGCAACACAGGTCCCAAAGTATGAGGCACCATGAAGTCATGACTTTAAATCTTGGACTAGCTGGGGATGAGTGGTACCCCAGACTGTGAGACCAGGTGTAGCTGCAGGAGCAAGTACTACAAAATGGTAGAGCATAGCTATTATTTGGGCTGGGAATGGGGGTTAGGGAACAGCACAGTGATGACTCTCACTCACCAGCTCAGACTCTAGACTAGTCTGTTCCAGGCAAGCCGGGTACTACAGTTGTTTGGCCTGTAGAACAGGGTGTCTCAGCTGAGACACTGCTCTGTTTCCCTGGGACATAGCGTACTACATCAGCTCAGCCCTGGGATGCATAGCTGCTTGGCTTGGACAGGACACTGATTCTGCAGGGAGCGATGTGCTCCTTCAGCTGAGGCCCGGGGAATGTGACTGTTCTGGGTGGTTCAGGCCCTGTTTCCTTGGAATGCAGTACACCACTTCAGCTTAGGCATGGGGGTGGCATGACTGCTCCAGGTAGCCAAGGTACTGTGTTCCTAGGAAATAGGATGCTGCTTCAGCTCTAGCCCAAGGGAGGTGGGGTAGAAGTAGGTGGAGTAGTTCCACCTCTACTTGGCCCCACAGGGAAGGGTGTAATAGCTGCTTAAAGTTTAGCTTAGGGATGTTAAGCCATCAGCCTGGGGTGGTTCAGATGAAAGGAAGCCATGTCTACAAGTCTCCGAAGCAAGACACACTCCAGAAGTAGTTCCAGTTCCAAGACGGAGTGGCACAGTAGCCGTGAGGGCCACAGCAGGCAGAGCACAGTGTTGGTTCCTTCTCTGGAGGGAACGCAGCTATGCAGACTCTAGGCAGCTTCCTCAGCTTGGCTTAGTTGCTGTCCAGACTCTAAGGAA